AGCCCCGCATCGGGCTCTCTGCACAGCAGGGAGCCTGCTTCCCCCTCTCTCTCTGCCTGCCTCTCTGCCTACTTGTGATCTCTCTCTCTGTTACATGAAGAAATAAAAAATCTTAAAAAAAATGTACAGAGAGGGTTTTGCTAAGAGAGATAAATTGGAATGTTGGTTTCTTTGGGCAATTTCCCAAACTCATCCTTTGAAGGGTGTGGACACTTCGAACCATTTCCTTGAAGGCAACTGTAGTCTGAGACAGAACCCCTCAGTGGTGCCTTTTTGTTTTTCACAAAGAACATTTTTTTTAAATTAAATTTTAATTTTTATTAAAATTAATTTTAATTTTATTTTTTTCAAGTGTTTATTTTTATCAGTGTTCCAAGATTCATTGTTTATGCAACACACCCAGTGCTCTGTGCAATATGTGCCCTCCTTAATACCCATCACCAGGCTCACCCATCTCCCCTATCCCCCTCCCTTCCAAGGGAGGGCACCTTGGCTCTTTCTGTTGAAGGGCATCTTGCTTCTTTCCACAGTTTGGTGATTGTGGCCATTGATGCTAGGAACATTGGGGTACATATGGCCCTTCTTTTCACTATATCTGTATCTTTGGGGTAAATACCCAGAAGTGCAATTGCAGGGTCATAGGGTAGCTCTATTTTTAATTTCTTAAGGAATGTCCACACTGTTTTCCAAAGTTGCTATACCAACTTGCATTCCCACCAATGGTGTAAGAGGGTTCCCGTTTCTCCACATCCTCTCCAACACTTGTTGTTTACTGTCTTGTCAATTTTGGCCATTCTAACTGGTATAATGTGGTATCACAATGTGGTTTTGATTTGAATCTCCCTGATGGCTAATGATGATGAATATTTTTTCATGTGTCTGTTAGCCATTTGTTAGCCTTCTTTGGAGAAGTGTCTGTTCATGTCTTCTGCCCAATTTTTGACATGATTATCTGTTTTGTGTGTATTGAGTTTGAGGAGTTCTTTACAGATCTTGGATATCAGCCCTTTTTCTGTACTGTCATTTGCAAATATCTTCTCCCATTCCATGGGTTGCCTCTTTGTTTTGTTGACTGATTCCTTTGCTGTGCAGAAGCTTTTGATCTTGATGAAGTCCCAAAAGTTCATTTTCGCTTTTGTTTCCTTTGCTTTTGGAGACATGTCTTGAAAGAAGCTGCTGTGGCCGATGTCAAAGAGGTTACTGTCTATGTTCTCCTCTAGGATTTTGATAGATTCCTGCCTCATGTTGAGGTATTTTATCCATTTCGAGTTTATCTTTGTGTATGGTATAAGAGAATGGTCGAGTTTCATTCTTCTATACATAGCTGTATATATATATATATATATATACACACACACACACACACACACACACACACATATATATCCCAGCTTTGTTTATTGAAGAGATTGTATTTTTTCCACTGTATATATTTTCCTGCTTTGTTGAAGATTATTTGACCATAGAGTTGCAGGTCCATATCTATGTTCCACTGGTCTATGTGTCTGACTGACTTAACTTTGCTTTGCATTACATTCTCCAGTTCCATCCATATCACTGCAAGTGGCAAGATTTCATTCTTTTTTATGATTGAGTAATATTCCAGCATACATATATACCACCTTCTCTCTCTCTCTCTCTCTTTATATATATATATATATATATATATATATATATAATGTATTGTTTGTTTCAGGTGTACAGGTCTGTGATTCATCACGCTTACACAATTCACAGTACTCACCATAGCACATACCCTCTCAATGTCCATCACTATACCACATCCTCTTTATCCACTCATCAGTTGATGAACACTTGGGCCATTTATCTATTTTGGCTATTGTAGATAATGCTGATATAAATGTAGGGGTGCATGGATTCCTTTGAGTTAGTGTTTTTGTAGTCTTTGTAGTCCTTTATCTTAAATTAGAAAATATAGGAGTACCTGTATGGCTCAGTTGGTTAAATATCTGACTTGATTTGGGTTAAGATCATGATCTCAGGGTGGTGAGATCAAGCCCTGCATTGGGCTCCATGCTAAGTGGGGAGTCTACTTGTTCCTCTCCTTCTGCCCTTCCCCCTGTTCTCTCTCTAAAACAAACAAACAAACAAACAAACAAATAAATAAAATCTTTAAGAAATTCTTCAACACATAGAAGTCTGGTTTCCACCCACTCCCACTGTTACTGATTTTACACATTTATAAGAGAGAATATTTCAGAGCATGAGAAGCCAGTCAGTAGGTGTAGACTGCCCAGGTTTAAACTGGTCCAAACCAGTTCTCCTTAAGTCTCATCTCTGAAAAATCCTTTACATGAATGTGCATTTGCCCAATATCTCTACTAACAAATTAGATTTCATGTATGAGAGATGGATTCAATTGCTCTGGGGAGCTGACCAGTTCTTTTTTTTTTTCTTTTTAATTGATTTGACAGAGATCAGAAGTAGGCAGAGAGGCAGGCAGAGAGAGAGAGAGAGAGAGAGGAGGAAGCAGGCTCCCCGCAGAGCAGAGAGCCCGATGTGGAGCTTGATCCCAGGACCCTGGGATCATGACCTGAGCTGAAGGCAGAGGCTTTAACCCAATGAGCCACCCAGGTGCCCCAAAACTGACCAATTCTTAATGCTATTTTTCTACTTCCTTTCTCCTTTTAGCAATTTTAAGATTTTAGAGTCTAACACCTCTTAATACAATAGACCAACAAATTCTCTAGATACTTCTAAGCAGCAAGGTCAAGCAAATGGACAATTTTCATGGAAATAGGCTTCTTCTTCTTCTTCTTCTTCTTTTTTTTAAAGATTTTATTTATTTGTTTGACAGAGAGAGACACTGGGAGAGACACAACACCAGCAGGGGGAGTGGGAGAGGAAGCAGGCTTCCTGCTGAGTAGGGAGCCTAATGTGGGACTTGATCCCAGGACCCCAGGATCATGCCCAGAGCTGAAGGCAGATGCTTAACGACTGAGCCACTCAGGTGTGCCACAAATAGACTTCTTAAGGACATGCAAATAGACAATTATAAGTAGCAAAGCTGAAGGTGAGTTCATATAGAGAATATTCCCTTGTAAATCGAGGACAAAAATTACAGCATTTCTTGCTGCTTATTTTGCCTGACATAATTGGTGTAAAAAAGCAAAACACAGGTGAAAGGAGATTGAAGTTTACCAGCTCCTCATCAAGACTTAAAGACTACTGCCTCCAGCTTTGATTTTCTTTTTCAACATTACTTTGGCTATTTGGGGTCTTTTCTGGTTCCATACAAATTTTAGAATTGCTTGTTCCAGCTCTGTGAAAAATTTTATTTTGATAGGGATTGCATTGAATGTGTAAATTGTTTTGGGTAGCATAGACATTTTAACAATATTTGTTCTTCCAATCCCTGATCATGGAATGTTTTCCCATTTCTTGTATCTTCCTCAATTTCTTTCATAAGTGTTCTATAGTTTTTAGACAATTCTGACTTGTTTCACTGCATTGGAAGGAAACTGCATAATGTTCCTAAGTAATTTGAGTGGTAGTGTTGTCTGTTTTATTAAGGTGTAATTTCCTCAATCTGATACTTGTTATTATCATGAAGCATGTGGTTGAATATTGCTTAATGTTGAATACTTTGTATTAAAGAGAGAATCATTAGAATTTTTTATTGTTAAATATTTGAGGTCACAAGGGATGTTGAATTTTATTTTCATGCCAATTAAGAATCTATTAGGGTGGACATATGATTATTCAATTTAACCTACTGATTTGAGGGATCAAATCAATAACAAAGTTTGCTTGATCTTGGATTATTATTTACATTGTTATTCTTTCAGTATACTTTACACTTGATCTTAGCCAAAAGGCCAAGAAGTGATTCAGTATACTTTCAGATTCAACAGATTAATATTTCATTTAGAATTGTTGTCTATATAATCATTACAAGATGATAATATTACAGGTTTGAGTCAGAGTTACTTTAGCTCTCAAAATGCATTGAAAGCTTCCCCTATTATTCTGTACTCTAAACAATTCATATAACATTGAAGTTTGGACTCATTTGAAAAACTGTCTGTGCTTGTTGCCCTTTTGAGCTAATTCTTTGATTTTTTTTATTTTAATTATCCAATGGCTCAATTTTCTTTTTCTTGACTTACATATGCTTTAAAATGAACAAAAGCCCACTTTTCAAATTTTTTGAGATGATTCTTAACATTTCCTTAAAATTTTTATTTTTTATATCTGTTGTGTTACTGTTTTTCTTTCTTTTTTTGAATATACTCTACATGGTTATATCGAATTTTACAGAGTTTTTTGAATGACTACAATCTTAATTTACTTCCCAATTTTGTTTTTCTGTTTTCTTGTTAATTTGTGCTTTTAGTTCCTTTATCCTCCTTTTCATATGTTAGTGTCTGTTATCTTTCTAATGCTTGGATTTGAGCTTTTAGAAACTTAAATTTTCAATGAATTCAATGAATTCAATGAATTCATATAAGGATAGATAGATTACAATAAAGAAATCTAAATACTGGCAATATTTTATAACTTTAGTATATCATGTTCTAATATTCATAATATTCTACATAGAGTTTTGATTGTTTTGTTGACATAGGATCTTTTTTTTTCTATTTACCAATGCTTTATTTACCAAGAGTTGGGATTTGCAAAAGTTATCTTCTATTTAATAAATGCCTCTTTTGTTTTTAGTTCTTCCTGCAACTCCTCACAGTCAGATGCCGAATCTCCTGAAATGATCATTGAATCTTTTCAACCTAATTATTTTGTTGTCTTATCAATCTGTTTTGTGGAAAATTGTCTTCACATTCTCTTCCAACCAACAGAGCACAGGATTTCCAAATAAGGAGCCCAAATCAAGAACTACTGCCTTGGAATAATAGGCAAGCTCTGTTCAGACAAGCTCGGGAATTTTTCTTCCAAGTTATATGACACTGTATGTGGGAGAAAGTGGGGAGAAAAGAAGAAATGTGAAGGAACAGTCTTTGTAACTGTGTCTTTGTCACTACTTAGAGATATTTCCCCGGTGTCCTTCTCACAGCTTCCTTCACCTCTTTGTTCTTTAGGCTGTAGGTGAGGGGATTCAGCAAGGGCGTGACTACACTGTACTGCAAGGAGATGAGCAAATCCAAAGAGGAGCCCAAGGGAGGCATGAGATAACAAAGAAAACCTGAGCCAAAGAACAGGGTCACTGCAGTGAGGTGGGAGGAGCAGGTGGAGAAGGCCTTGTTTCTGCCTGAGGTGGAGCTAATGCTCAGAATAGTGGAGATAATAGGAGCGTAGGAGAAGAAGATTGGGAGGAATGTTCCAAGCCCATGCAATAAAATGGAAGAGAGCAGGATATTGGTAGTGATGGAGATATCAGAACACGACAGAGGGAAAAGGGCAGGCAGCTCACAAGTGTAGTGGTGTATAGTTTGGGCTTCACAGAAGTCCAGGTTAATACCCAAAAGCACAATGATAAATGCATTGATAGAGGCCAGGCCCCATGAGGCCAGCTCCAGCCTCACACAGAGCTGGCTGCTCATCACCTGGTCATAGAGCAGTGGGTGGCAGATGGCAGCATAACGGTCATAGGCCATCACTGAGAGCAGAAAGGCTTCAGTCCCTGCACTGAAAAACACAAAGAACACCTGAGTCAGGCAGCCCTCTACTGATAGTTTTCTTCTCAGACAGAAGGTCCTTTAGTAGCTTGGGTTCAGTGACTGAAGAGAAACAGAGGTCTAGGAAGGACAGGTTACTCAGGAAGAAGTACATGGGGGTATGGAGGCGGGCATCAGCCCTGATTACCAGCAGCATCATCAGGTTCCCCGTCACAGTCAGGAGGTAAATCCCCAGGAAGAACACAAAGAGCAGAGCCTCGATGTGGGGCTTGTTGGACAGCCCGGTGAGAATAAACTCAGTGATGGTGCTGTGGTTCCTCCAGGCCATTTGTGGAGGGGATTTCCTTGGAATAAAATACAAAGGGGATGATACCACCTATGATTGTTTCCATTTTTTAAAAAAATATATTTGTTTATTTGACAGAAGGAGGGATTACAATTAGGAAGAGAGGCAGACAGAGAGAGGGGGAAAGCAGGCTCCTCGATGGGCAGGAAGCCCGATATGGGGCTCGATCCCAGGACCCTGAGATCATGACCTGAGCTGAAGGCAGAGGCTTAACCCACTGAGCCACCCAGGTGCCCTGATTGTTTCCATTTTTTAGGGCATCATCATGTCTTCTTATACATCCCTCCCATCCTGCTTAGTTTGACCTTGTGCTCAGGTATCTCAAAACTGCTCTCACTGTATCTCAGGAAGAGTTTTTATCCTTTCTTGTCCAGTCTTCATGTACTTTAGAGAATTCTATTCGTGTTTCACAGGGATTTATTTGAAAAATAATATTGCTGGCTCACTTACACATTAGTGTTATTCACTTTTTGTTGCATGCTCCAAAGTTCAGAGAGACTGTGGACTCTGAGAAACAAACTGAGGGTTTTGGAAGGGGGATGAGGGGATGGGTGAGCCTGGTGGTGGGTATTAAAGAGGGCACGTATTGCATGGAGCACTGGGTGTGGTGCATAAACAATGAATCTTGGAACACTGAAAAATAAAAAATAAAAAAAAAGAAAAGAAATCCTTACAATAATGTTTCAAAAACCATTATATAACATATCTACAGCAAACCATTATGTAACATATCTACAGCAAATAAACCTTTTCTCCTCTCTTCATTCTTTTTATTCAAAAAAAATCCAAGTCTTCTTACTTCCTAAATAGCGTGTTAAACTTAATAGTACTTTTTTTTTTTTTTGGTATGCAGAGTATAAAAAAAATTCCTATCTGTTTTCATGCATGGAAATTTCCCCTATTTTACCCTGGAGGAAGATGATATTGAACCCTGTTGAGAACCTGTAGAAGAGCCAGGAAATGAATTCCCTAGTTTTCTCCTAATTCTCATCCCAGTGTCTAGGCCTGGTTCCAGGAATGAGAATACTTTTCTTCCCCTGACATTCAGATTTTCTTATTTGTCCTTAACCTATATTTTTGCCTTTTTGGCCCATTTTGATACTAGAAAGGCCTATTTATTTTTGTGTCTTTGATTATATTGTTCTCCTTTCAGATGTTCTTCTTCTTTACTCCACTGATCTGCATTTTCAACTGCCTTCCAGCATCCCCTCAAATCCTGCTATTTCCTTGTCAAGTGTACTTAAAAACCTGATTCTATTAACAAATCCATCAGCCCAAGCTCAAGCTCACCTTCGATAGAAGTCTAGGTTACCTGTGTGCCTGGAGCAAACAGTGCAATATCTTCCTTGGTGTGTGACCTCAGCTAGATCCAGTGGTGGTGAAGTATAAACAGCTGGAGGATTTACTTTTGAGGATCTTGCATGGATAAAATTATAAACAGTGTTGAAAGCAAACATTTTGCTTGGAATCTACTCAACTGAAGTGGAAAGGTAAGTTTCTTTTATGCCTTTCAAAGATTTGGAGAGCACCAAGGATTTGTGGATAGCTCTATCCTGAAAATAGTCTCCAGTTTTCTACTTTTACTCATAAGGCAGTGCCTGACCACAGTATCTTTGGGGAGTTCAGGTTCTCATCTAAGAAGACCAGCATTTTTGCAAAACTATTTTTCATTAGTGTGCTAACACCCACACTTTGTGTGGATGATTGCAACAGCTATTTTTATCATATGATCTTGGGATCTCACCCTTCTCACCATCCTAAACAGCAAATCAAATGGACTCCAGGGATTTCTTTAATGACCAAGGACAAAGTCTTCCATTCAATTCCAGATTACATTCCAAGCATGAAAATGCATCTATTTTAAACAAGAAAATGAATATTAGCTTTCATTTACTGTTTAGAATGAAAGACATTTTCAGCTTTATTTCATACTGACATTAAGAGACACTGATGTCAGATTATACACGAGGTTGAGGACAAAAGACTAAAATTAAACAAGGGGTAATTGAAAGGGTAAACTATGTAAATACGAGGATTTCAGGAGTGTTCTAGAGTTTTTGGCTATATTTGGAAAGAATAAGTGAATGAAGGGTATGTTTGGAAGGTCAATTTCCAAATGGTTTGAGGCTTCCAGGGGCTGGATGCCCTGTTCTGACCTTATGTGCATGAGGAAGAATTTGAAAGGGGTGAAGGATATCAGTACTGGAAGCAGGAGGGACCAAAAGGTTAATGTAACCCACTCAAAACTATTCGCATAGCTGTCCTCTCCAGTATCTCTCATACTATTCATATTTTCACAGTGATGACTAGATTGGAAGGTTGTTCTAGTAACTGAAAAAAATACAAATAGAAGGTCTGTGCAAGCAAGGGAATAAGTAGTTTCAATGAGTCAACATCTATTTCCGATATTCTCATTTCGTTCCAGATGTCAACTTTCTGCAGTCTTTTTGGGATCCTGATGCATAAGAGGATTTATGTCTAGACTGTGAGATGTCCCTGTCACAATGTTATGAGGAAGTGAAGACAGATCTTTCTCGTATCTTGTCCAAGGCAGCTGGGATAAATGAACATTTTCAGGAACAGAGACATCAGGGTCCAATCTAGGGAAGAAAGTGGCCTAGGAAGGGGTGGGAAGTTTCCACCACAAACTTAGGAAAGAGGAATAAGTTGAACAGGAGTCTAAGGATTTAGCAGTAGTAGGGTGTATTAGAAAGTTCTAGGGGATAGGGTCAAGGTGGGACATAGTGAGCAAAATTAAAACACACATAGAACTTTCTAGGAATTAAAAATGGAGGGATAACAGATATGTTGAAGGATATTACCATAGTCCGGGCTTTTCCTGGAGGAGGCAGCTCCTGTGCGTTCTGCTTTCCCATTCAGACAGACACATCATAGATAAAGTCTCCCCATAAGAGAACCTACGCCTGACTCTTGACAGAACAGATAGTTTTCTCTTCTTGCTGTCAGAGGGTATTAGATATTAGAATAGTTCAAACTTTACAAACACTGAGGATAACAGGATATCAAGATCATTTCCTGAATACCTGAACCTAGAGTGGTGTCATTCCGCAATGCAGGCCACTATCCAGAAGGACAAGAATGGTATCTCTAAAGAAGCTCATATTTTCAACTGGCATATACTTCATTAAAACTTCCTCACCTGATTTCGGATCTAGCAACCTGCCATCTCATTTATTTCCTCTGTGATTCTGAATACTATCTTAAGAATACTACTTAAAGAAAGAAAAATCTAACACAACCAATCAGAGACCATCTGTAGTTACATAGCGTTGCTCTGGGTTTGGCACCCCGGGGAAGCTGGGCCAATGCCTTGTATTCTCTGAAGTCTAGTCTGAAACCAAGTTCTGGACTCAACTAATTAACATAGTTTGCAGTTAACTAGAAAGGTAAACAGGGGAGTATTTGAAATTTCTGAATTGGAGCAATTATTTAAAGCCTAAAAGAGAATTTTATTAGGCTGGTTGGGACTGGAGAAGGAAGAATAAGAAAAGGATTTTTAAATCTCTCTCTCCATATATATATATATATATTTTTCTAATATTTGTTGAGGATTTTTGCATCTATGTAATTTTCTTTTCTTGTAGTGTCTTTGGTTTTGGAATCATAATGCTGGCCTTATAAAATGAATTTGGAAGTGTTCACTCCTCTTCTCTGTTTTGGGAAGAGTTTGAAAAGAATTGCCATTAATTCCTTAAATGTCTGGTAAAATTCACTAGTGAAATCATCTGGTATTGGACTTTTTTTGTTGACTAGTTTTTTTGTGTCCAACTTCAACATTTGGAATTTAAGCAACATATCTTTTTTAGTTGGATATAATTGATAGATAACATATTTTTTCAGGTGTACAGCATAATGATTCAGTATTTGTATATATTATGAAATGATTACCACAGTAAATGTAGTTAACATCTCACTATGCATAGCTATAAAAATGTTTCTCCTTGAGAATTTTTAAAATCTACTCTCTGTAACTTTGGAATATACAATAAAGCATTTTTAATAAGATTTTATTTATTCATTCATGAGCATGAGAGAGACAGAGGCAGAGGCAGAGGGAGACGCAGGCTCCACAAGAAGCAGGGAGCCTGATGCGGGACTCAGTCCCAGGACCCTGGCATCATGACTTGAGCTGAAGGCAGACGTTTAACCATCTGAGCCACCCAGGTGCCCCTGGTATTCTTAATTATAGTCACCAGGCTGTACATTACATCCCCAAGATCTATGTATTTTATCTCTGGAAGTTTGTACCTTTTGACCACCTTCTCCTGTTTTGCCCATTCTCTACTCCCTGGCCTCTGGCAACCACCAATCTGCTCTCTATATCTATGAGGTTTTTTAAAAAATAGAAATATATTCGACATATAACATTTGTAAGTTTAAGATGTATAATATATTAATTTGATACATATATATAATATGATTGCCATTATAGTGATAATTTGCACCTCTGTCACAGTACATAATTATAATTTCTTTTTAGTGTTTGGAATAATTAGGTTTAAGTGTCTAAGCAAGTTTGATGATTATAGTACAATATTGTTGTTTATATTTACTGTGCTGTGCATTAGATCACTAGGATTTATTTACTATTTGTTGGAAGGTTTTATCTTTAATTTCTTTTCTTTTTTTTTTTTTTTAAAGTAGGCTCCATGCCCAATATGGGGTCTAAACAAATGACCCTGAGATCAAGAGTCACATGTTTTACCAACTGAGCCAGCCAGGCACTCCTCATGTTGTATCTTTATTTATTTATTTATTAATTTATTTTAAAAAGATTTTATTTATTTATTTGACAGACAGAGGTCACAAGTAGGCAGAGAGGCAGGCAAAGAGAGAGGAGGAAGCCCCTGATGTGGGGCTTCATCCCAGGACCCTGGGATCAAGATCTGAGCCCAAGGCAGAGGCTTTAACCCACTGAGCCACCCAGGCGCCTCCATGATGTATCTTTATTTATTTATTTA